GGATTTGAAAATATCGGATTTGTGCCGTTCACACTGTCATACCATGATCGGATATGGGTCGCAGAGGGTAAAGAAAAATCGGATTTGATGCGCTTTTGCCTGCAGTGTGAACGTAGCCATAATGACTTTTATCAAAAAAAAGAAAAGAATACCCACCAAAACCTTTTAGTAGTACAAAGGCAACATAAGAAATGACACAAGAAAAGGCACTCTGCTCAGTTATGGCAATGGGGCGATGACAGGAAATAGAGTAGGATTTAAGATACACAGTTCAGTAACCAAGAAAAGGAAACACCAGAAAGTGAATTAGAGTGAGCAGCTCCAAGAACAGAGGCGACACGTTTACAGCTGCAGTGTCTTTCCTATGTCACACAAAGGTCATTTATTATTAACGGGGGAAGTGGTGTAACATAGTCTTGTAAGTGTGAGATTATGTTGGTGTGTGTATGTGCGCGCTTGGGGGAGCCGACAGCTCAGATCAGTCCACACTATCCAAAATGCTGCCGGTGAACACCAACAAACTAACTTAAAAGGAGGAGGAAGGAAAAAAAAAAAAAAAAAAAAAAAATCATATTCAGGACAATGTGGCTCTCATTTTACAAAATACTTTCAAAAAGATTTCCTCTTATTTTCTGTAAGGATGAGAGTATGAACATTACCCCTGGTTTCTGTAGCGATGGTAGCCAATACAAATCCATAGTGCCTTTATTAAACCAAAAACACATCTCCATTCTGTTCAGTTCAGCTTATTTATTCATTTTTAAAAAGAAACCTTTTTATTTTTTGTTGGTTTCTTCATTCTTTTTCCTCCCAACTTAGACCAGGTTTATTAATTGCCCCTAAATAGATTTTATGACTCATTTTAGAATTTTACATTTTTTCCCCAGAGGCACCCACAATCAGTTTATTAGCGGACAATTCTTCACTCAAGCTTTTTGTTTGCTGGCCACATTTCTATAAGGGCAGTTCTCAACTTCATCCAGCTGTTTCCTCAAAAAGGATCTGTCTAACCAAACCCCCTCGCAGGTAGAGAACTGGCATCAGGTGCCACTAACTCCAGGGTGATTGAGTAGGAATCCCTCTGCACGAGGGGAGGTAAAAAAAAATAAAATAACTATCAGTAAAGGCCTTCATGATGATGACTTATGAAAGCAAGATAACAGATGTAAAACAGCTATTGTGGTTAATCCTTTTTGTGTCCCTCCAGTGATGCTCTTCTTTTATCACTTATAAAGTGATAAAAGGGGCTACAGTGGTGACAAGTTTTGACAGGTCCTATTAACCTGAGATGATAAGAATAACACAGGGGAAACTAAATCAAGATTCTTTTGTTAAGCTCATTAATGAATACAATTTTTCTTAAACGTTCAACAAGCACATTTATAAAAATCCAAAGTCTGAAGTTACTCAAGAATGAGCTCTCTACACCAAATGGGTTAATTTAGTATTTAATATGTTGTGGACTTGCTCTTAATCAACATTCACTTAAAGAGACTATATTGTAAGATTTTTTGAATGATTATATTAGGAGTGAGAGAGAAAGATTTGTAATAACATCCCAGCTCTCCAGCCCTAATTTGTCTAGCCTGACCTCCAGTGCAACCCTGCACACCTGCAACTGCTCTGCATTAGCGTTTACACGCATGAGCTCTTTTCTTCCCCTTATTAAATACTCAAACTATCAGCACTTTGGCGTTTCTTTTGTGCATCAAATAGTTTGTGTGCAGTTCTCAGAGATTTTGACGGTTTAATGAAGGTAAAATTACTGAGTCTAGATCAGATATTTATTAAATAATAAGATCAGAATCATTTGACATGAAACATTAGAAAAAAATAATTGGCAATTAACTGTAAAATGTTCTTTAACTAGCTTTTTTTCCTGAGTTGAATTTTAAAAAGAGTGAGATAAAACAAGTTATTGGCAACTGATGTGGCCCCAAAGTTGCCCGCAAACACAGAAGAGGGGAGACCCAAGTCAGCAGCAAAGCTGTGGTTCCTCTCATTCTGAGGATTACTACTGCAGTAACAAAATCACCACAGGGCAACATTAACACCAAGTTTCACATCAGAGAAAGATCGGTCCAGTGCTTCACTATTAAACATAATACAGCACAATAATAGTTCATCTTAATTGTTTTGGTTTTTTTTTATAATCGCTGGAAGCCCAAATTCTTAATTAAAAATAAAACTATTACTCGCTCAGCTCTAGCATGTTGGCAGTGAAAATATTTTCCTGTTCTGGATAACAAAGTTAATAAACAAAGATGATGTTTTTGACACATTTGAGAAGGCATTAATAACTGTCGCCACTGTGCTTACACTTGAAAGTAGAGCATAACTAATTAACAAGACATTTAAACAGTGCTGCCCTCACTTGACAGGAAAAGACATACTTAAACTAAATATGCCAGGTAACTACTGGGTCTCAGATGTTATGCTGCCACCTGCTCCCCTCTAACATTGTGACAGGAAGTTGTAAACAGGCAAGGTGGATAAGAAAGTGGTGTGGTTCTGCAGTGCAAAATCAATTGTTGTATGCTGGTTGTGTCAGAGTAAACTGCCATACAACCACTTAACTAGAACAATGTATACACGCATTATGCAAACACATGTGGACATTATTCTGCAATGAAATATGACTAGAGTTCAAAATTGCTCATAAATCCACACTCAAAAATTAGGAACACTATTGGTTTTGTGTGGTTATTGGCACTCTAAATGAAGGTTAGGACAAGGGATGTGCTGATCTGACATTTGGATTAAATAATGGTCCAATAGAGACTCCGGTGTTGGTAACAATAAGCTGAGCAGTGTGATTTCTCTCAACTCGAAACTGGACAAGTTTAATTTGTGCATCTCTAGTAAAAATAATTTTTTTTAATTTGCAAGACTCCCTTTTGCAGGTGAGCTCTACTTGCAAGTTTAGTAGACTGAGGTTACGTGTCTGTATATTGCTGATGTCTACACCATTCTGTTTGCAGCGGGGCTAGATGATTAATTTGGTCATAATGCAATTGCAATTTTGATTTACAGCAATAATACAACTAAATAAACGTGGTATGATTAGTTTTAGAATATGATTACTACTACAAAGCATTTGTTTTGTCTCTTCTTGATAGCAGTACTTTTTCACCTGTAATGTGACTGACAGTCTTGTTCTTGATGGTCCTCTATGTTTTGCACTGTAATGGTGCAGTTTAAATAAAATAAAAAAAAAAGGAAGAAGAAAAGAAAAAGAAGAATCTACACTGGCCATAATGGGCTACAATTTATATATACACCAGTCAAAGTTAGAGAAAATGCAGAGAATACAGAAAATATTAAACCCTTAATAATGCAAGCCCTGTCAACAATCGACTTTGCCAGCAATATCTGTCAAATAATAACCTGCCACATGATATGGCCCATAAATAGAAAACATTAATAATTAGAACCCACTCAGCATCTATCAACTGACATTCACATTGGTCAGGGCCAATGAAAGAGGCTTAGTAAGCCATTATTAATGACTGCTTAGTGTTTTTGGCACAGTGAACATAAAGCTGGGTGAAAGATAAGGACTGGAAATTATTATGTTTATTCAATGGCATCAATCCTAATGAATCCATTTCCTTTGGGAATTGTCTGCAATTCCATTGTGCCCATAAGAAGGTGAAGTATGGTTTTGTTTTCAGTATGAGGATGGGTAGGTGCTTAGATTGGACATTCAAATGAATTAAAGTCATGTCATGGGATTTTGTGGTGTGATAAAAAAGTAAACTGATATCAGTCCCTTTAAAGTTGTTTTTTATGCCAAATGAAGGATAAAAATAACTTCTCTTTATCTTTATAAATCACTGCTTCCCAAAGACTGTTCCCTTCTTGTCCCTGTGCCTCTCTGATCAGGCACCATCACTGACTGGTGGATCAATAAGTACTACTCTAATCAATATTTCCCTGAATGGCCTCCTTGAAACCATTCAGATGTAGACCCATTACTAATCTAAAATGCATAAGCAGAAAGCATCACCATGAAGCCAATTAATTATCTTCCAAGTATTTTCCACATCCAAGAGATGCTTATGAATCATATGGAGTCTTAGACAACTCAACCCTGCCAACATGCATACTCACACAGTGTAAAAATGTTCTTTACGACCACAATTCGTTAAATCTGCACCTCATCATGGCTGGAAATGAAAGCAGTGCGCTAAAGTTTCATTTTAACATAAAGGAAAATAACACCAGGACATGTTCCTTGGTTAAATGCCAGATCAGATATAAAGGTTTCACTGTTCCGTGCAGTTTACTTTTCTTAAATTACTGCCATTCATGAATCTGCAGGCCATCTCTCCCCATGAATCGACCCTGTGGTGGGCTGGGTGGCTCATACCGGCAGGGGAGTGCAGGCCCTATTCGCCGGAACTCAACCAAACCGGGCTCAAATATCACCTCACTCTCACAAAAGTTAGGCACAAAACCGCCAACATTATAACGCAGCCAACGGGCCAGCTTTTAACGTAAAATGTCATTATAGGTGGCGTTTGAAAGCAGGCCGTCAGCTTGCACGGTTTAGCACAGTTCCGTTTCTTACTAGTCGCCATCACCTCCACTTCCAGCCCGTCAGTGGCCAAAGCATGCTAACCAGCTAACGCTGTGTGCACACCAGCCCATCAGTGACTGAACAAAACTTCACACTTTCAACTTGCATGACACACAGACCCCACCTGCCACCGCCGGTGCCTCCTTTATCCTTTCGGGTGCTGTACGGCTTTACTTGAAATCCGGTTTCGGCCTGGTTTGTAGTGGACCAGTGAGTGTCTGGCCGGCGGATTACAAAAGCTGGCTAGCCTGCTAACCCAGTTCGGCTAACGATGGTTAGCTACTCCGCTCGCTGGCTGCCAACAAACCGCTCTCCACATGCGCGGTCCTGCACTTTCTGTCTTCTCCGCAGTTTCACGCCACCGGTCTCTTCTCGTCTGCTCGGCCGTTACAGCGGGAACCGGTTCGCAGTCTTCCCGTGGTTCAATATGTCTCCCCACCCGTTATCTCGTACCAGACCGTTTTTGTAGTTGAGTGAGGCCCCGCTCGCGCCGCGGCCTGTCTCACAATCAAAGATGGCAGACCGCGGTTGCCAGATATGCTTTCTGACATCCCCCTCTCTAAAAGCTTCTCACATCCCGTGCAGGTGCACCAACATTTGATTGAAATTCCAGATTTCAGATTTTATATTAAAAAATTATAATTAATTGAGATGATAATTGAAAAATTCTGAGGTATCCTTTTTTTACGCTGCAATTAAATTGTTTTCTGTTATACTGAGTTAAAATAATACAACATGTAAGTATTACTGAACCTTGATTTGTTTATGATCACAATTAACCAATCCCCCATAACTATCTTATTTCAACTAGATCTTGACATCGTCTATAAATATATTTAAAAAAAAAGTTTTAATGTGCAACAATATCCCATCTAAAAGCACAAGCATACACTGCATATCGTTAGCTTCATAGCATAAGTGCCTAAGTCATTTTTTGGTCAAATTGAGATTTTTGCCTAACTTTACTCCCCTACCACTGCTGCATCATCCTGTCCGTCTGCCTATGTCATCACAAAAAAATGACTTAGGCACTTATGCTATGAAGCTAACGATATGTTGCACAAACCTGATATCTGTTCATCTTCTACAGAGACAAAAAACCGTTATAAATGTATAAAAGGGTCACCTTAAGTCCAACTTTCAATTCTCTGTAATATATCAGGATATTTATTTATTAGAACTATCTGGATTATTAGAGCTATTTTGTAATATTTTGTAATATTTAATATTGGTACTTTAACCTGGTCACTACTATTCGTATTGTCTTGGAGCAACTGTGACCACATAATTTCATCTAGAACTAATAAAATATTCTGATTCTGAATAATGATTCCAAATCTACCTGGAGTCAACCATCCATCCCGATGGATGGTGCACAAAAGCAGTGAAGAAGAGAGTGCAGGCAGGCTGGGTGGAGGGGGGCGGGGGGGCGGGTGTCCTGGGGTGATTTGTGACACAAAAGGAGCAAGTGTGAAAGGGAAGGTTTAAAATATAGTAGTGAGAGCTGCCATTATGTATGGTTTGGACACTATAGCACTGTAGAGTGACCATGATGAACATTATTAGAAAAGGAATACCTCAGAGGGACAGCTCAGGTTGAGCATTTGGAGATAAAGATAGCGAAGCTGAGATTGTTTAGGCATGTGCAGAGGACATTTTGGACAAAGGATGTTGAATATTGTTGAATACTGAGGTGCCAGGCAGGGGGAAAAGAGTAATAGGAGGTTCTTGGATGTGATGAAGGAGGACATGCAAATTTGTCAATGTGCTAGAGGAGGATGTGGATAAGGTGAGAGACCGATGATCCACTGTCGGGACCTCTAAAAGGAATACCCAAAAGAGGAAGGTGAGAAGGTACGCCCGAAAGTTGATTCTGCTCATCTGGAAATCAGTGGGAGACACCAAGAAACTGAAAATGTATCTTGGAATGAAAGGTTTCTCCCACTGAGAATGCATGCATCCGGGTGAACAGACTCAACTTTCTTAGATTTTCTTACCTGAATGATCGAACATGCATCAAGACAGGAAGATCTGTGGAGAAAAACTAAAGGATTTTTTAACTTACTATTTTTTTTAAATGTATTTATTCTTTACTCAATACTCAAATAAATAAACAAATAAATAAATACCCCACAACTATCTGGAATGTTTAAAAAATTCCAGTTTAGTATTCTCTGTCCATTTGTCAGACACTTACCTTCAGAAACTAGAGTCAAGTGCCATGGAAGTCAAGGTGTGGCGCTTTCATTACTTGCATGGCATCTTTTGGTTTAGAATAAATTCATTTGGACTTCTCTAAGTAAAGCCAGACGTTGCATTTTTAAGTTAGCATGTTATCATTTCAGTTCAGTTCATTTCAGTGTTATTTATACACCGTCAGTTCATGGCGAACTCACTCAAAAGACAAATTAGCAGTCTCTAGCGTCAAATACGTGAATTTTCCTTCACGGATTTTTCTCCATATCTTGTTATCTCTAAATCTGGCAACCCAAATGTTAAGAAATCACGCGTGGACGAAGCTTCTTCTGGGGTGTTTAGCGGCGGCTCGTGAACGGCGGATAACTTAGTATGTACAGTAAAAAAAAAAAAAAAAAAATCAATCACTAAATCTATCTATCTATCTATCTATCTATCTATCTATCTATCTATCTATCTATTAATAAAAACAAACAAACAAAAGGTTTGTTTTAAAACACAACGATTATATATTACTGAACTAAAATAAAAGACAAAAAAAATTCTTTTGTAAACTTTTATAGAATTTTATAGAATAATAAACACAGTGACAAACTACCTTTTGGGTTATAATTCTCGTTTCACTCTTACAAACATCAAATTATTATTATTAATTAATTAATTAATTAATTAATTAATTAATTTTAACTTTCTCACGTTTTTATCCTGCTTTAACGGACAATTGCATGACACAATGGTACTATGCCATCCTTAAAAAGCAATCTTAGTTAATCATAGTCACTGATTTGGCTGCAAGAGGGAGATTCATAATCACATGCTTCCATGTGGCTTCCAGTGTGATGCAGTGAGACACAAAGGACAATACGAAAAACATACTGTAGTTTCATGTGGCTTTTTGAAGCAAAACATCATGCAAATACCCAAAGCACCATTAGGTGGCATTACTGATTAATTTAGGCTACATTATCAGTCCATGATTCAGCCTTGATATGGAGTTATGTAATAAAAACTGCCCAGGGGGTAAAGGTAATAAATTTAGAAAAGTACTTGGTGTGTGCAATTCATGCATGGACTCGAGCAGAGGTCTCCAGTACCCGAGAGCTACTGTCCTGCAGCTTTTAGATGCATCCTTGCTCCGGAATGCCTGAATCAAATGATTGGCTTGTTACCAGGTCTTTGCCAAACTTGATGGCATGCTGAAGAGGTAATTCGACCATTTGATTCAGCTGTGTAGGAGTAATGATGCATCTAAAAGCTGCAGGACAGTAGCTCTTGAGGACTGGAGTTAGAAACCCCTGTGTTAGAGGATTTAGGTGAGTTACAAGAGGATGGTGCATGTGTGAGCAGTTGGCTATTGAAGACGTTTTTTCTAAGTAAATTTACTTGCGTGAAGTTGCCATTGACATGGAATCCCCACCATATGTCAGTATCAACCCATCCAATCCACACATTATGTGCAACAATGTGAAATGAAACAGGGAAAAAGTATTGAACATGTCAAAAAATCAACCAATGAGCTCTCTCAAGACCTTTGTAACACACACACACACACACACACACACACACACACACACACA